GAGGGAAATGGGTTTTAAAATCTTTTATCCTACGTCTGATCTGATTTTAAAAAGCTGTATCATCATCTCAACTTGCTTGTATTTTTATAGCGCCTCATTTAAAACAAAGCAATAAACAAGATTTAACAGTAAGTTAAAGACAAAGTTAATAAGAGGTAAAACCTGTACCTGCAAAATAAAGATTGTTGGACAAATGGGTTTAATAAAAACCTTTACGTACAAAAAGTGTAAAACGGTGAGTGTAAAATCTGAGAACAATCTGAGGCCTGTCTGCTGAGAGCAAAGATTTCCTGTGAAATGGAGGATAAGATCTTCATGCTAAAGCAGAAGCGGTGACTTTAACCGCTTCAAAAACAATAAGGGTAAGAAATTAACATTCTTAATTCCTTGATTTTTGCAGATCCCCTCTTAAAAACTATCAGTTCGTAGTTGAATTTTGTTATTGAATATCCTCCCAAATTAGGAGAATCTTTATGGTCTGTATGGTTTTAACAGGCGCAGGTTTTTTTTTGTTGTTTGTTTTTGTTTGTTTTAACAGACTTGACCAGCATTGAATGGTGAAAGAGGTTGGGCTCAACTCCAGTTGTGACTTGACCGGTTATTCTGCTTCAAATGTTCCCTTTTTCACAATAGTTTATTTGCGTATAAGGTCTTTCTTTCTTCACTTAGACACTCTTGGGAGGACAAGAAGACCAGTGAGTGATTCAAAGTTATCACACACTTAGACAGTGGCCGCAGGGCGAAAAGGCGTTCTGGAGGAAGATGAGATTGACTTTATGTATCTTTTTTTTTTTTTTTTCTGAATCGCTTAGAATGCGTGAAGGAAGAGGGATCTGGCATGAGTAGAGTTAAATATTGAGGAGCGAGTGTCAATGAGTGGAGCCGGGCAGAGGGGTAGGAGGGGAGTGTGTGTGTGTGTGTGTGTGGGGGGGGGGGGTGCCTCGTGGGTTTTTATTGGGGAGGGTTGACTTCACTCCAGGGCCTGACAAAACACGCGTGAAGCGCACGGTCATGTTGCAGCGCAGGGTTTTCCACACGGCTCTTAAGCACTTTTTCACAGGGACTCAAGAAACCAAACGAGCTCTGCCATGTGCGCTGACGTGGGGACAGAGGCTCGTCTTGCACAGGCACAAATCAAGTAAGTGAAGAGAGTTTTATTTATTTTATTTTTTTTTGTGTGGAAGATTAGAGGAGGTGACAAGTTGGAGTTATTTGTGCATCCCTTTTTGCGTGTCCCCCACACACTTTATAAGTGGAGGTTATTTGTTATCTTTCATCCTCTTCCTCTCCGAGTAACTGCTTTTCATTTTGAATGGAAGACGCGAATCTCTCCGGACAGAGTTCACTCGAGTCAGAGACTTTAACCCCGAAGCGCAAAGTTTGTTTTTTTCCCCCCCCAAAACCCAACGACAATATTTGACAACAAACCCGCCCGCCAGACGAACGGTGTCATGGACCAGAGACGGGTTAGTGCAGGGGTACCCAAAGTCGGTCCTCTTGGCCCGGCGTTCTGCATGTTTTAATTCTCTCCCTATGGTAGTAACAACCTTTTCAGCATGTATGTCGATGTTCTTCTTAGCCCTTGTAATGGGACATCATTTGATCCTGGTGCGTTAAACCAGGGAGAGAACTAAAACATGCAGGACCGACTTTGGGCACCACTGGGTTAGTGTGTTAAAGGTTCGTGGCTGTGATGTGGGTGACCATGTGGCAACAGAAAATGCCCAGAGGTACGCGGATTTAGTAAGGATCTACACTTTTTTGTCGGCGGTACAGCATCATCGCGTAGATTTGAACGTTTACGGATTCGAACTCGCGGCCGATACGTCATTGTTCATGTCTTGCGTGACGCCGACCGGCGCGCCGCTTCTCAGCTGCTCTCGTGGCGGGTCTCGTGTGTTGTTAATGGGTCGCATGCAGTCATTCATGCGCTCCTGGTGTTGTGGCCCCTGTCAGGAGTCATGGAGTACAACTGAACTGGTTCAAAACAGGAGCTGACGTGTGTAAGCGTGCATGAGGGATGAGCAGGTTACATGGTTTGTTTAAGTGAAAATGGTATAGAAAATGTTGAAAAAAAAAAAAGTATTCGCACTCTTACATTTTTTTTTTTTACTTGAAAGATTAATGACCTCCTGAGCTTAATTATGGGATGTACCACCTTTAATAACAACAACTGCTGTCAGGTTGTGTAATTGTGTTTGTAGAGTTGTTAATTTTATCAGTTTTTTGTTAATTTTGGAGTCATTCAGTTGTGGACTTTACTGGCGTGCTTTTTGTGTGGCTTAAACAAGGAAAGGGATCAAAGTTGCTAAAGACTGACATCACAATACAGAACATTTCAAGGCCAAGCAATGAGGTCTAGTTAGCATGCTGTTTGGTGGTAGGGTTGCACTTGGAAATGTGTTTTCTTGCTCCATGATGTTGAATTTGGATAATCAATACTCATCCTCCCTGTTGGATAACTGCTGCTGATCCATGTAGCTATGCATTTCAGCTGTATATGAACTCCTACGTTCATCAGGTCTCCCAGATGTGAGGGAGCGGACTCTCATCGCCATAAAGCCAGACGGAGTCCAGCGTCGCCTTGTTGGACAGATCATCCATCGGTTCGAGCAGCGAGGTTTCAAATTGGTCGGGCTGAAGATGCTGCAGGTAAACAAGCTCTGTGTGAAGAAAACACCCTCTCTTTTCTAACTCCTAACTCCAGCTATATTTGCTGTAAAGGCGTCTCAGGATGTCCTGTCCGAGCACTACTGTGACCTGAGGACCAAGCCGTTCTACAACAGTCTGGTGCGCTACATGACCTCTGGACCCCTGGTTGTGATGGTGAGGGCTTCCCTTCTTCTCCGCCCGGCTTTGGGCTCCTTGCAGTTTTTACATTGTGTTTGCTTTATCTCGCACTTGCTTATCAGTCCGCTGCAATGCGTGAGTGATGCGTTTATCTATGTTTAGGTATGGGAAGGGCACAACGTCGTTCAGACATCACGGACTATGGTGGGAAACACTAACCCGGCTGAGGCCCAGGCAGGAACCGTCAGAGGAGATTTCAGCATTCATGTCAGCAGGTAAACTCATTTCTTTTCATCTTGTCTTGTTTTTACAAAACCTTACAAAGTAATTACCATCACAGGATTAATAGGAGACTAACTTTAGTCAGAGAAGGAGCCAAGATACCTAATGGTAGCTCTGAAGGAGCTGCAAAGATTCACAGCTCAGGTGAAACGCAACAGCTGTTTGTTACGCATTCAACTCAGCTTTTTAGTTTTGCAATTCAATGTCCGTAAACGCCCACTATCAACTCACGTCGATAGAGTAATCACAAGCGTTGCTCATTTAAAGGAACGTGGTCCATGCCAGTGACTCGGTGGAGGGGGCTCAGAAGGAGATCCAGCTGTGGTTTCAAACAAAAGACCTTTTGGACTGGGACTCCTGGGACCAGACCAGCACCGGCGATGTGTGAAGATGGCATGAATCGAAGGAAGTGAGATTTACTGCCTCTTTCCCTGCTGCTCAGTGGTCCGTCACTTCAGGGCGACCAAAGGCGATTGTAAAACATGAGCTGTATTCAGTGATCTCAGTGATTTACCTCAGAAGTGCACTCAAATGAAAATGTTGTTGTTCTGTCAGTTTTTAATCCTTTTTTGAGCCGGTGCATATTTTATTAATTTGTAATCAACATGTTTCTGTTTAATGGTTAAGCTACTTAAAGGTTTAAGATGCAGAATGTTGACTTAAGAGTACACAAAGTCCATTTATTATGATTGTATTTTTTAAGAATGTTCTGTTTGAATCTTTTAGTGAAGAAACACTTTTTACACACACTTTTTAGACTGGCTTTTTTGTCCCAAGGTAAGAATGTTGCATTTTGGCAAACTTTTTCTACATTTGGCAAGATTTGTTTTGAGGCCATAATTTGACCATGCACTGAAAGTATTAATAAAAGAGCAAAAATGGTTAAAAGTTTTTAAAAAATGAAATAAAACCAGAATAATGTTTAAGTAGATAATGACATATTTTCCTTAGAGGTGCTAAAGCAATAAACCCAAAAATATAAGCAGGTTAGTGTGGTTAAGGGCGTTTTTTTTTTTTTTTTGGGGGGGGGGGAGTTCAATCATATCTGTATTTTTTTTAGGACATTTTTTCCACATTCTGATCACTGCAAAATAAAGCATGGAGAAATGGCCATATTCAAAGCTGAGGACAAGATAAAAAATTGTTTCAAAATGATTTTTGCTGTGCAGAAGGAGTTTAAAAGTTGGATTCACACACAATAATTGCAGATAAGCAACGCTGTCAATTGAACATTTTTCCCTCATCCTTTCCTTCATAGGACTGATTTTCATTCCTCACAATGTTACCTGCTAGCTTAAATCTTCCTTAAGACTCTCCCCAAGGAGAGCCCACACTTGGATATCGTTTTAATGTATGCTTTCGCTTACTTGTCGTTCTATGACCGCTCTGAAACAGGACACATCAATGGCACATTTGTAAAATGTTATGTGTCAAAATATCTAAAATGAGCAATAAATTTAGAAAGTAGATGCATCTTCAACCCTGTGAGGAAGGCAGATCAGGACAGGCTTGCAAAACCAACACAGGCTAATCTGAAAGGTCAGTTGTTTATGTGGTAAAATTTGACCTCTGGTGAAAGTTATTTGTAAAACTGGTGAAGCAACGTTATGTTCACATCATGTTGGTTCACCCTCTGCTTGTGTACCTGGATGGGTGTTTGTTTTTTGTTTTTTTTTTGCATGTGCTGACATATGAGGGGTCACAGGGTCAAAAACTTTTCACAACTGATAGAAAAGACTTGAAAGCTCATGCTGAATTTAGTATCGAGAGATATAATGAGTTAGAGGATTTAAAATAAACATTACAAATGCATCTACTGACCTCTGCTGGTGAGATGTGAATATTCCAAATATGAATATTTCTGCAATAATTAACAGAGCAAATAATCACCTCACTGACTTGAACACAACAGAAAATCAACACTAATGTTTTGTTGTTGTTGTTGTTTTAATGTGATGTGTTTGTACATTTAGACTGAAACAACACGTGGCTGTACAAAGCGACATAATAAAAATGAATGTGAAATAAACATCAATGAATGCGAAAAGTGGACAATCTGTAGAGGTTTTCTGTTAATGGACAACTGTCATCATTTTACATGAATTTTGTCTCGTTTATTTTATTTACATTGTTAGTATCCACAGAATATCAACTAAGACGTGTGACTACAACAAAAAAATAGAAACGCTAAGAGAAGTTTATTTTGAGAACGTGTGAAATAAAAACATTTCGCATGTCAGTTGCGGCCAATAGGGCTGCATCATTAATACGTAGTTTTATGTAACCTTCATGTGCAATAATACAAGGCCTTACTTATATTCTAATGCTGTGTTCAAGATGCTTTTTGATACAATGAACATAACGGCTAACAGCATATTAAAAAAGACATAAAACTAGCAAAATGAAAACAGAACAAAGTTAGCAGTTTATTTAAAAAAAAAAAGTTAAATGTTCTTGCCAGTGCAGATATTACTCTATAATTAATACATGTATGTAATGTTCATGTTACTGTGCAGCTGATGAATTTAAATAGCCTTCATGTACAACAGATTGGTCTCATATCTCTTTAAGTTATTAGTGATTTCTTCGTCAAATATCGTGACGTTTACCAATCCAGGTCAGTCATCAGGTTTCACTTCTCCGCCACCGTCTCTAGTTCAGAAACTTTGCGCACGTCCTGGTAAGAAGCAAACGATACGTCGGTTCAATAGAACAAAATTATAATCACTTCTTTAAAGCAAAAGATGACAAAATTCAGCCTGTTTTGCTGTTTCTTCAATAGAGATGGAAAGTTAAATCAGCTCAATTTCTAACACAAACAATTATCATTATCTTCTATTAAACTTGATTTAACAAAATGCACCATCAGAGTGAATATGTTGTATGATTTTTATTTTATTTTCCCTTACTTTTACCCAAATGGAAATTTGTTGTTGGTTTGTCACAGAATTCAAGCAAAGTATTTTCTCCAACATTTTTATGTTGGAGAAAATACTCGGCTTTAAAAGTACAAATGTGATACTGTAAAGTCCTTTTTTGTGCAATGAAGCAATTTTTGACTTTAGCAGATTCACACAAATACCACTGTTTATAGGTCAAAGGGTCTCCAACTCTGTCACTATCTGCCTCACCTTATTGAGTAAACTCCAGATCTGAAGGTTTTAATGATATCTTCAGTATAAACACATTTACAATATATTCTATAAGCACTATAAGATTAAAAAAATGAAACGGGATCAGAGTTGATTACTTTCTTGTCCTTGCTCATTTTGAATGTAGGTCAGTTCAGTAACAATTTGGCAAAGTGACGCAAGTCTGTGCATCAGCCAAGGCCGAGCAAATAAACGCCGGACCAGAACCGTGTGACAACAGAGACAAACAAACGCATCCAGAACAACAGCGTACAAACCTCGAGAAGGGACTTCTGTCCCAGCACCTGCAGGTAAATACTCTCTCCTTCCAGAGGACACACACTGCAGAGCTCCTCGTTCTTTAAGGAGAAGAGCTGAGCTCCGTTCAAAACTCCCAGGGTCTCCACGGTCCTAACAGAGGGATTGTGAAAGAAGAGGTTTAGTTTAGAGAGAGCACGATTTAAAAAAAAAAAAAAAAGATGCTAAAGGAAAAGCAGCGAGTGGTTTAATCTGATTCCAAACATTTTCATACCACCTCAGAGAGATACTAAATAACACAGGAGAGTTTGCACTACAGTCAATCATTCACCCACTGATGGTGGTGAGTCTTCCAGCAATGCGTGGAAGAACTATAGGAAACACACCACCTCCTTCCCATGATGGTCACCAGCTTAGTCACACGCACGCTGCAGAGGGATTGCATCCCATTTTTCAAACAGCAGCATTTGTAGCGATGCGGATGTGTTGGTGACTCTGACCCCAGCTGATCCCCAAAGTGATCAAATAAACCGACTTTCTGAACGGATAAGGCTGATTGCCAACAAAAAGAACATTGTTACCACATAGCAACATCATCATATGTCTGGTGAAATCAACACTCACCCCTGACTGAAGCCCTTCGCAGAGAGCCAGGACTTCACCGCAGAGCTTGGGGAGTGGTAGTTCAGGGGGATCGGGATGCCAGCTGTGGAGGAGACCTCCGTCTCTTCAAGCGAGTTCCTTTTCTTAGCCAGCCGCTGCAGAAGCTCATTGTTCATAGCCATGACTGTTAGAAGAGGGGGGGGAAAAGCAATGCTATTCAGACTTGGAATAGAGAGAGATTTTCTGAAATACAATGTCCTGACTGCTTTTTCTCCCATTTTATGTCTTGTATAAAAACCTCAGGAAAATAAACAACTTTAAATTTGATCAGGAAGAAAAAAATCTGGTCCTACATCAATACAAGCGTTACAAATTTAGCATAATTTGGCTGTAAGGTGAATGAATGAGGATCTGCTGACTGAAAGCAAATAATCCGAAGTTTGATGCATTTCTAAGGTTCTCTCTGGTCTTTATTTGATTTTTGTTTGTATGTTATTTTACAATCCTGTCATTTATTGCAGATGGTGTCTTAAAACCCTCAAAAATACAAACAAAAATTGTGGTTATAAGGTTAAAAGATGTGAAGTTTAGGTGATGTAGATATGAATAATGAAATTCCCATTAATTAAATTCAGATATGCTGAAGAATAAGTATATCTGAATTTAATCAGAGTTGTTTGAGTGCCAAGGAGACGCCCGACAGATTTACAAATCATAAGTGGAGTGTTACTGATTTCACTATAATGCTTTAGATTTATTCCAAGTGCAAGCAATGAATGAGGAGAAGGAAAAGAAAGGGAGAAAGGAAGGAAGAGAGGTGAGGTAAAAACTTACTAGTGAAAGAAGGAGATAAGGATAAAGAAGAAAATGAAGAAAAGAAAACACAATAGAAGTCTGAAATTAAATCTTGTGCAAACTCTCCAAGTTTCTTAAAGATTTACATTCCAAACATGAATATGTCATTTATGTTTTCTACACTGATTTCAGTTTTCATATTTAAATGCCTGCGTTTGAAGGTTCTATGTACCATTAGCATAAATATTGAAACGTTTCTAATAACGTGTAAACATCTAATTATTTTAGGACATAACTGCATGTTTAACACAAAGGAACAGAGAGGAAGCAAACAAGATCTGTTGTTTTTTTTGTTTTTGTTTTTTGTCACTACTTCAACAGTACTGCATTGCATGGAGTGGCGTGTTACCTCGGCTGCCATCTTCTCTTGTCATGTTCGATGGCAGAACCATGCTCTGATGTCGCTCTGCTCGGTTGGTCGCGGTCGGCCTGAACCCGTCGCTGCTCGATGGGACGTACGAGAAACACCGAGGGGTGAGAGCTGTTCTCTGTTGAGAACAAAGCGGGACTTATTCAACACCGAGGCCGCAGAGTATTTTCAGAAACACAAACAACGCCGTGTTCGTACCTTTGACTCTGTTCGAAGCACCGGATGGATTCTCTCAGTGTTGTTCAGCGCAGACAGAGGCTCCAGGATGTTACACGGAACAAGTCCGATCTCGTCATAGCTATTCCGGCACTTCCAAAAGCGGTCCGATGATAATTCAAGGACCTAAAGGAAGATAAGTTAAATCAGTTTCTGCCTTTACAGGTCAGTCCATGAATACTGAGATCACTTGTGGGGGTGCGCTGTACCTCTAGCGCTTCCCCATGTAGTACGGAGAGTTCATCGTTGTTTCTGGCCACAAAGTCGTAATTGCAGTGATACATTCTCTTTCCATTTGGTGGGATCCCATTTTTACTTCTGAAATTACATTCAGAAATTTCGCAGCTCATAAAATAACAACGTTGTCCAAGTGAAGTCTGATTTCTGTGCTTTCGTTTGCTTTAATTTGTCCGTCCTTCACACCAATCTGAATCCAAATCTCCTAAATTCAGGTCAATAAAGTTCACCTGAGCTTTTAAAACTGCTCATGCTGCAGCTTTAAAAGCATTATGTGTTTCTTTCACTGTTGAAGAAAAGCCCTAGAAACACCTTTAGCCAAAAAGAGGACCAGGAGTAAAAGAAAAAAAAAAAAAGGCTGACTTTTCCACAACTCATGATGGTTGAAATAATTTTCCGGGATGCCATGAAAAGCAGTTTGTAAAAATAACTACTAAACAATCATCCTCTTATGCTGCTAAAAGTTTGATGAAAGCCCTAATGGTGTCTCCTTCACCACTGTGGTAAGGCTGGAGCTGATGCTTATGGTGCAGAAACCTCCCACGTGTACTACTAAGAGAAATAACAGACTGTGAGGATTCAGATATTTGAGGCAGAAACATTAAGGTGGCTGGAAAAAAAAAAACGGCAAACAAAAATGAGGATTCCAAAAGGTGTTGCTACCCGGTGACATTTGAAGGAGCAGGAGGTGCTGGATGCCATGGGGGAGAACTCAATGAAGTTTCATAACATTCTGACTGAATGTCCTTAACAATTATATTAAATCTTATGCAATAAATTAAAAATATGCTTTTCAATGAGACCTCATTGTTCACAATAAATCTGCCTTTTAAAAATAGCTAAATTTAAGTGGGTGCTGAGCATACTTTTCATTAATTCCTCATTTCTGCATTAACATTTTCTTTATTGATCTAATGGAATGTTCTACTCCTAAATGTCACATTTTCATTAGCTGCAAACTGAAAAAAAAATCATCATAATTAACAGAAATAAACACCACACACCAAATATATTTTCCCAGTGGCTAAACCCTTACGCTTTTTCGGTCCCTTCCCCGTAGTTCTTGGACGCAGGCTGGACATGTTCCTGTTGACTTTGCTTCCGCACGCTTTCATTAAAAGCGTCCTCTTTGTGCTGCAACTGGACGGGATCTTCCAGCAGCCGACCAGCTGAGTCGTTAGCCTGAGGCTGCCACCCATCCAGGAAGACAGGCGAATATGGAGGAGCAGAAACGGTCTGCTGCGAACTGAGGATGGGAGAGAGAGCGGGTCTTGTTAGAACAGAGGCGCTGTGAGCTGAAGCAGAGGTTGGTGCAGAGGGAGGGACACAGACGCGTCTGAGGTCCAGTTGGGTCCCAGTGATTTCCACAGCTCCTTTTCCTCTCCAGTCAGGTGCTCTCGGAGCAGAGAAACGGCTCCTCTGGTCATGCATGGACTCTTCACGGATGCAGCTAATGTCTCAGTGGTCTTCACCATCTGTAAAACAGACAGTGGGTGCCACTCAAGTTAGATTTAAAAAAAAAAAAGGGAAACCCCAAATCAAACTAAGTGTCATAAAGTCACTCCTACCAAGTTCAGAGGTAAAAAGATGTGGTGGAGCAGATCTGGTGCATCTGGTTGTGAGATGGACGACTTCAAGCGATCCTAGATCAAATGGGAAATAGTTTTACGCATAGTAACATAACAGGCTTTCTAATAACTTCCAAGAATTTTGCATGGATGCTTACCAGTAAACAGAAGGAGTACTTGATTTTCTGAAAGATGTCCACAAATTCCTGCTCAGACGGAGGAGTCGCTTTCTTGGTCAGCAAGTCTCCTGCAAGACAAGAGAGAGCAATCACAGCCAAAGCTGCAGAGCAGAGCATGCACTTAACCACGGACACAGAGCCGTCACTGTTTGAAAACTATTGCAAACATGGGTAGGTGATTAAATATTGTGACTCATCTGACAGGAGTGTAATTGCCTGTGTAAGAAAAAACAACAGACATGCTTTATTTCCGAGTGACGTACTCACTACGAAGTCCTACACAGAAAGAAAATGTGAATTTAAAACAATATTTAAAGACTCACACCCTCAAATTAAATGAGGCTTCTTAATTATGTCATTTTAACCTTCACACCGTAAAAAATAATAACATTTTATGTTGAATTAGTTCAGTTTGCTAAAAGTCCACAGGAAAAAAAATGCATGGAGGTTGCCTTTCACAGTGTTTTACATTTTAAACAATACTGTCAATTTTACAGTGAAATTATTTTTGTTTACAGTTCATCTTTATAAAAAGTTTATTTTTAATCGCTGTGAACATGTGTGTGGTTAAAACATTTCCGAAGACACATAACCCTTTTTTTCCCTCACATAAATATATATATCTTAAAAAAAAAGTCCAATAAATCCACCTACTGCTAAAGAACGACACGTTATGTTGACATCAAACCTCCATAACAACAATGCCAGGATCTACCTGTTCTGATTTAGGCGATTTCTCCTTTTATTTTTTACGTCTTAGCCTCACAAATTGAATTAATAGCGCCATCTTTGCAATGAAATTAGATTTAGTAAAGAATGGATAACGATTTGGTGTGACTGTAGGTGTGTACAGAGTTGCATAAGATGAGAACAAAACCAAAGTAACATTAGCTGAGTGATTAATCAAGTAGGAAGAGCAACATTACAGGTTGACCATCCCAAGTCAATAAGCTCCTCTCTAGGATTGGTTTGTCCTGCCCTGAAGACAAAAGGTGGGGTGTTTCAGCAAATACAAGAATCTTCTGAATAACCTAGGAGTTTTTTTCAGCAATCTGCCCACTGGCTTGTTTTAGTGAATGCTAAAATGTTTGCTCTTTGCCTCTTTCTGCTCTAAATACTTAGAACTAAGGCTATGACCAGTCAGTGCAGTAGATTATTTCACATAAACCGAGTCTGAGATCATTTTTTTTTTAGTTGCCCAGCTTTGTGGCCAACAGAGTTTAATTTGCATGTAAAAGCTTGTACCTTGTTTGTCATTTTTGGTGCTTTTCTTGGCGCTCCTTTTGGTCCTTTGGTTGAGAATGCTCCGGGCCTCCGCGGTTTGTTGGAGGCGAGCCATGAACCTCTCGATGTCATCAAAGCAGTGATTCAAGATTTCCTTTGAAATATTAAACCGATGTTGTTGCTAAGTAGCCAATCGCTACACAAGATGTGTAAAATAACACCTTAAATGTCAAAAATATTTTCAGATAGGTGCCTCCATTCTCAGGATCTTTGAAGATAATATTACGTAATTACCTATAAGCAAAAAACATTTAGCATATCATGAAATGTATCTTTAATTCTGCATTTCTTTTCACTTTTGGTCAATGTTAATGATACATATTCTTTTTGTCTTCTTGCTTTATCAGATTTAATCTGCAGATACGATAACAAGGGAAATGACGGACTTTACCAAGTATCCAAATTTTTCCAGACTTACAACTTCTCTTTCTGCAGTCATCAGCTTTTTGTGGCTTGACTTCCCGCTTGTGCCGTTCTCTGTGCCGAAACAAAACAGCCACATTTACGCAAAAAAAAAAAAAAAAAAAAACTGAAACACTTTACAGATGCACTCGGCTCAGACGTTCAACTCCTGCAAATCGTCAGCGTGGCCATAAATACCTCTCTCAGCGTCCGTGATGATGGGCAGCCCATTGGGACGATGTCGCTGAAGTGGAGTCAGCACTTTGACCCCTGAAGGCTTCCTTGGAATCACTTGAGGAGGTGACGTCGACATTTCTGCGACGCAGACGCGAGCAAAGTAAAGTAAGTTTCCAGTACAAGTTAGCAAAACTGAGTGGCAACATTAGCTGGTTCCTCATGTAAAGCTTTACAATAAGCCTAAATGAAAATATCCTTTAATAGTATGAGCCTGAAAATGTTTAAGGATTTGAATTTCGTAATAATAGATTTGGTTGTAGATTCAGTCAAGAGAGAGAGAGAGAGAGAGAGAAAGGTAAATAAGGTTTCACGTTGGATAATATTTGTTCTTTACAGAAATCCAGTGGTGCCAATAATTTTGCCAACATTCAGTCAGATTAATGATTTTGTGTTAAAGATTTTTTTTTTTTTAGTTTGGGAATGTTTACACATCTTATACATTGCAACCCTGTGTATTTAAGTGAAAAATTATTCAACTAGTTCACCGGTTTGCACATTTTAGAGGATTTGTGAGCCGCCTTGTCTTACCATCCGTTTTCAGAAAAAGGACTTTCAGGACCGTCAGTTCCCTCAAAAGGCTTTTTTGTGGAAGAATTTTTTTATTACAAATCTCTAAGTTAGTGTGAGTAGAGCAGGATTTAGGTTAAGATAACCCTTTCAAAAAAGTCAAGCCATCAGGTGGTAATGCTGTATCTGTTTCCATAAAAGGGGGTTAACACAAGATCAGATGTTGTGATATATAGATAAATCCTCCACATTATGAACATTTGGGTGCTTCAAAGCACTTAAAAAAGTGTACCATTAAGTCAGGTTTAGCATAATTTGTGGAAACCTTTAATGTCAATTTTGACTCGTTTTCACAAAGGTGATTTTGTCTGAAATATTTTTAAAAATGGTATAAATAACTTGAATATTGTCTAGCTGACCTCCTTACCTTAGGTTACTGCCTAACAAAGAAGTTTTGTGTGGAAAGTTTTCTCCTGGGTGACATTGTCAGAAAAATTACAGATAAGTAAATTCAGGAAAAACCACCATGACCAGTAGGCATGCAGGTGACACAACCATGAGAATCTGAAGAGAAACTGTTACTCATTGAATGAAAAAAGACAAGTGTGGTTTCAGGGTATCACTTTGGCTTTCGTCATCTTTCTTTCCCCCTATGCTGTTATTTTTCATGAAATAAAGAAATTATTCTTATGTCACAAGCTGGCGTTTTGTTTCCCAAGAAGATCTGTAATCTGTTACTGGCAAAAAACAGCTGCTGGTCGACAGGTGCACCTCCGTATTCATTTCTCATTCCCTTCAACATTTTCTCCCCTCATCTAAAAAAAAAAGAACAAAATTTAGGTCAAATCAAGATTCATCACTGTACCTTTTGGCGAGATGTGAGCTTGCAAGTCCAAGTAGCAGTCACCACTCCTCCAGCTGAGCTGTATGAGCGCAGAGTTTTGGTTGTTTACAAGAGGACGTCCTACCTTCCTGAGATGTGTCAGAACAAGTAAAACAAGCTTTTCTTCTGCTGTCTCTCTCTGTTGAGAGGCAGGACACATAGCGCCCTGCCTCTCTCTCTCTCTCAGTGTAATTGGCAGTTTCTTCCTCCTTTTGACAGGTATTTGTGTCACCTGCCTGTGGCTTGTGCCACAAGGTCAGCCAAAAGTGCAACAAATACCATTCCAGGACTGTTTTCAGTCTGCTTAAAAACCCTGCCAACATGCAGTTTCACTTGAAACTATTGCAGCAAAAGCCAGAATAAAACAGTCATTAAAGAAATCTACAAAAGAATGAGGGGATTGAAAAATACCCCGCCTCTCGCCCAGAATGTCAGCTGGAGAGAGGCACCAGCACCCCACCTGACCCCACTAGGGACGAGGATGTTAGAAAATGGTTGGATGAATGGGATTGGAAAAATATAGACTTAAGTCTTTGTTATGTAGGGTTTTTTGGGGCATGCACTCTTTAGAAAAACATGCTTGATCAAACAAATAATCCAAATAATTTAAGTGTGAAATCCACTCATTATGGGGCTGCACAGTGGTACAGTTGGTAGAGCTGTTGCCTTGCAGAAAGAAGGTCTTGGGTTCAATTCCTGGCCCAGGTCTTTCTTCATGGAGTTTGCATGTTCTCCCTGTGCATGTGTGGGTTCTCTCCAGGTACTCCGGCTTCCTCCCACAGTCCAAAAACATGACTGTCAGGTTAATTGGTCTCTCCAAATTCTCCCCATGTGTGTGTGTGTGTGCATGGTTGTTTGTCTCTCTCTGTGTTGCCCTGCGACAGGCTGGTGACCTGTCCAGGAACGTTAGTTGGAGATAGGCACCAGCAACCCTCCTGACCCCACTAAGGGACAAGAGTGTAAGAAAATGGATGGACGGATCCACTCATTACAGGTAATTTGCAGAAAAGAGTTTAATGATTTCAATAGTTGCTGTAGGTATCAGTGGAAACACAGATCTTGAAAACTTACAATTAGATTGATTGATTCTACACAGAGTTCCAGGATAAAACTGAATGTTTTTGATAAGATTACAGAAATGTAGTCAATAGAGTCCAAACAGAGATTAGGCATTGAGTTTTACTGAACAGCATAGTGTGTGTAACGTTGAGGTGAACTGGTTTCGTTTATGTATGTGAGGAGTGACACCAACTGGCCATTGAGTGGACATAGCAGAGTGACTCTTCCAAATGCCTGCATGGTTAAATATACAGACAGAAAACAGAATCAGATGCACTCTGGACATGATTAATAGAATGTTTTCATTGAAAATAACAGAAAATTATGTTGTTGTTTTTTTTTTGTTTGTTTGTTTTGTTTTAAACGTATTCTTAAATTGAAAAATGCCAAACAGTTCTTGCAGTTTGTAATTTCACAATATGGGAAATAATGTTAACCACAGAATGAGAAGAAGAAGAGCTTTCAACTTTTACACTTAATTTAAACTTTTGCCAAGTTATGTTCTGCTGCCGGAGGAAGTGAACAGCATCAGGTTGTTTATACAAGGCTGAAGGGGGTATGAGAAAAGAACACAAAACTACACAAGCCTGGAGACATGACAACATGGAGCAGCATGTTGTCAGTCTAGCTATGAAAATTAATGCTACAATTCCTGATAATACCCACCCAGGTTATTTAAAACCACAATGTGGATGTTGGGTCTAAAAGATTGCTTTGATTGAGAAATTTTCTGCCGTTGTTGCTTTATGCCATTGAGAAACATTTTCCATGAGCCTGAAGCATGCTGACCTTGACCAACTTACGTCCCCGGAGAGAAGTGCATACTTGGCACTCTGAGGTGGCTCAGGAGGAAGGAAATTTTGGGAATGCAATGCATCAGGTTTTCACACAGCAACATTAATATGTAAGCAAACAACACAAACTTCCTGCAGTGAAAGACGACAACGGCTATGTCAAGCTATTGTTGGAACAAACAAATGAGGAAATCGACACAGATCGGACTGTGCTATCCGTTATGAAAGTCATGTTAAAACTGAAATCTGACTTGTTGCAGAACAATAACCAAAAGGAGATCCCAGTTTGAGGCTTTTCAATTGTCACAGTTGATAAAAGGTTCTTCATTTTCATCTGTGAGGCTCATTACTGATGATTCCCCCTAAATCTTCTCCTTTTCGATTTAAAGTTGTATTTTGATGGAAACAATGTCTCAATTAACTGGTTAAATCGTGTTTTAGATTGTTCTTGAAAAACTAATTAGTCACGGCTGATTAGTGGGTGCACACACAGCTGCACAATGGACCCATTGATTTATTTACAGCAGACAGCCGCTCCCCTCTCCGTACCCCCGCTAAATCTTTTAGGGGAATGCAGTACCCGACCGTACCCGCCTGCTTTCACCCCTGTGTGTTACCCTGAAAAAGCCTGAAGCCAAATACAGAGAAGACTCGGGGGAAGCCTTGTGAGAAGAAGAGCAGAGAAATCAACACCAGCAGCAGGCGTCCTGGAAACGCGACTCCTCTGGGGGACCGTGCTCTCTCTCACATGGTATGTCCACAACACACCGTTGTTTTGCCTTCACTTTTTAATCAGGCTTGTTACTTTTAGACATTTAAAAATAAAAACGTGAAGAAGATTAAATGCACATATTTTATTATTTATGGTAATATGTGCAGCAGCTGAAGGTATTTTCAACGAGCAATAGTGTAAAATGTAGGTGGGGGATGTTGTGTGCATTCATGATTGACAGCTGTGTTATGCAATGTTCAGGGAAAGAGGACACAGTATGCTTAGTTTGCTTTTAGCCCAAATACTCAAATAGGCACAAGGGGGGAAAAAATCAAATACACCTTTGTCCCTTAATGGGGTCGGGAGGGTTGCTGGTGCCTATCTCCAGCTAATGTTCTGGGCAAGAGACAGGGGGTACACCCTGGACAGGTCGCCAGGCAACACAGAGACAGACAACCATGAACACACACAAACCTAGGGAGAATTTACAGAAACCAGTTAACCTAACAGTCATGTTTTGGGACTGTGGGAGGAAGCCGGAGAACCCGGAGAGAACCCATGCCTGGACAGGGAGAACATGCAAACTCTATGCAGAAAGACCTGGACCAGGAATCGAACCCAAGACCTTCTTGCTGTAAAGCAACAGCTCTACCAACTGCACCACTGTGCAGCCCGACAGTAGTGACATAAACCCCAAAAGAAAAAACAAGCTGTAATTGTAGTAAAATGTGGTTCTACGAAGCGTTGACTCAATAGAGCTGCATTCAAAGACACACTGTGCTTTTAAGATTTTGATTGGTTAAAAAAATGAAAGACATGTACCATTTTACAAGTACGCTCCATGGGATGCTCTATATTTCCAAATATTTGCAAGAATACATTGAAGTTTGTGGTCACAACATGACAAAACATGAAAAAGTTAAAAAGTTAGGAAGTGTTCTTCCAGGTGCTGCATATCAAGGGGGTTTATAGAAGACCTGGATATTTCCATGCTGCAGCTATTACTACCATGAAAAGACAAAAACAACTGAATATCTTAAGCTGACATAAACCTTGAGGATTGGCGCAACCCCCAGCCCCAAGTTTGTCCTTTAATCAAAATCAGCCAGATGTTTTTGATTTAAAGAATATTTATGCGTATAGGTTCCCCTGAGACACTTTGTTCTTTGTAAAGTACATGTTTATTTACAGTGTAAATTTAGGGAAGTGTGGGTCGTCGGGACAGAGATCTAACATCCATAAAGCTGCTTTTCTTGTCATTGTCATATTGATGCTTAAGAGAAGCGTCCCAAAACAACTCAGTGTCTGCTGATAGGAAGGTTTTGACAGCTTGAGTTCTGTAGGTTGGATTAGGCTCAGGGTTGTGGTCACCTGTTTTCTACCTACACCCACAGAAAGCTCCCACTTGACCAGAAACAGAAATATACCAGCACTATTTGTGAAAGCTTGTGTGACTCTGTGGGTGAGGGATGGGTGGGTGTGCAGGGGGAAACAGACCCATGGGAAAAGTGTAATTTAGGGTTAGCCAAGAATAGAAAAGAGAAAAAAATATGTTCTAGTTGTTTTGCTTTACATTCATGGTCTAGGATTGCAGGTTTAGAGGTTTGTTGAGTTCAAACTGGACGTTTAGTTTTGAAACTGAGCCAGGTATATCATCATCATTTACATTAACTTAGATCAACACTTTATTATATTTTTCAATTACCAGTCAGTCTGAGTTATTTTTGCTATCATGATCACAAATTAATGTTTTTGAATATCTGTATGAAAACTTAAGAATGATAAAAACATACTGATTCAAATTAGGGCTGCACAGATTGCAGTTTTCTGGCCGATCACCGATTACAATCTTAACCTGCCAATTCCACTTAAACTTAACCTGATTTTAATTAAGCTCCATATGACAAAGAGATTTTGATATTGTGAGGTTGCTGTTATAACTTGTTCATCAATGTTTTTATCTTCAACATATCTTTGCAGTCTAAGCAAATGAAGATGAAAGAGGAAGCCAGAGAAATCAGGTGGTGGGAAACCTAAAGACTTTCCTGTCTCAGAAGAAGCTCTGGCTCCACCAGATCACCAACCAGCTCTGAGGATGAACCTCCACATCGTTTTCATGGTGTAAGTATTTATTTATTTTTAATGAGGAGCTAACTACATTTTCAACAGCAAACCCTGCTCTTTTACCAACACCAAGTGCTTAATAAACATGATTTGATTTAAAAAAAAAAAATAACTGGACAGAATTTATTCTCCTTGTTAATCTAACATACATTTTATTTGTTGTTGACTTTCAGGGCCCTGTGATGGACTGGTGACCTGTCCAGGGTGAACCCTGCCTCTCATCTGGGCTGCTGGAGATGGGCACCACCAGCCCCCCTCACCACCCGGCAAGGATCAGTGTGTTCAGATCATGGATGGAAAGATTTTAAGGTAGTTTGTCTCCTTAAGTCCACACTTAAAACAGCTTCATAGTTATTGCTAACATCAACTGATTCTATGACATTGCTGACTATTTTTTTCTACTTCTAACATAAACAGGCAAAGAAGACACCCAGAAAT